TGATGTGTTAGCATGACGTGTTAGCGTGATGTGTTAGCATGATGTGTTAGCATGACGTGTTAGCGTGATGTGTTAGCATGATGTGTTAGCATGACATTTGAGCTGACAGACAGACCGCAGCTCAACAGCCACCATCGTACTAACAGATGTTTCAAAAGAACCGAGTGAAGGAAGCTAAACTGGACCACAGCAGATATGTGAGAATGATGCGACTAACATGTCTAAACCAATGAATAAGTCATGTAAACCACAGATTCTGGTCATGTTTCTCTTTACTCACCTCGTCTGCTGGACCTGCATCTCCACATGAAGCAGGCAGTGATGAGGATGAGGATGGAGAGAAGAAGAAGACCAGTTCCTATCAGGAAACTCTGCACTGGAAGAGCTGGACAAGGTCAGAGTGATGAACACGGATCATGCATCACATACATGGACACTCTGTAATATTTAATATATAAACACATCAGACCTCACTCTAAAGGTCATTTATGCTACAGGCCAGAAGAGATGAACATGTTTACATTTAAACCTGTTCAACTGCACTCGTTAGATTCTTTGATGCAATCATACCTGATGGAGCATCGGGGGGTGATGCAGTTGTTACTGATGCTGTATGAGTTGTAGCAGTAGGTGGTGTTGTTGTTTTTGTAGTAGGTGGTGGTGGTGTGGTAGTTGTTGTTGTTGTTGTTTTTGTTGTCTTATTATCTTAAGTACAGAAAAAAGAAAATGTAGATACATAAAAAATAACAGCTTAAAAATCAACAATTGAACTTTAAATGTACGAGTTGGTTAAAAACAAACTCCACATAAAAAAAAACACAAAATCTAAAACTAAAAGTAAAAAACTGAACTGAAGAATTTCACATAACATCTTGTGATTTGTGAACAATGATTGGATGCTGTCTGACTGATGCTGATTAATGTCACGCGGTGAAACTGACATGTTTTAACTTTGTGTTTTTAAGCATTTGTGCATGAGTTGCTGTGTTTTATCGTTTTTAATCTTTAATAATGTCCAGTGTTTTATTCGTACAGTTTCATTGCATGCTTTTATTGTGTATATTGTTGACGTGTTCCCGGAAGACTTCCAGGCATGCCAGTTAAGACTGTGACCAATCAGGGCTCGCCCTTGGCCACCGTAGGCCAATAAGAGGACCTGGCGGGGCAGATGAAGGGGGCTAGAGGTAGAGCATGAGAGACTGCAGCAGCGACACGGCGGGATAGCCGGTGGTCGGCGACTGTTGCAGAGAGCGGCAGAAAACAGAGGAAGCTCTACAAAAACATTTCTGTGTTACTTTTGGGTTCATGTGTCTCACCTCTGTCAGATCTCTGTCCTTTGGTCACATTCAGATAAGCAGCTGGTTCTCCACCACAGTAGTACAGTCCAGAGTCAGCAGGCTCAGCTTCTCTTATACGTAATGTTGTGTCCTCCGTGGAAACAGAAATCCTTCCTTCATTTATTTCTCCAGAGTCTCGTCTCCACGTGGGAACAGCTGATCCTCCAGCATCATGAGAACAGTTCAGAGTGATGCTGCTCCTCTCTGCAACACTCACTATTGTTGTTCCTGTGAAGAATTCATGACATTTATCATTAAAGTGATTCTTTCCAACGTGCTGATTGGTTTAAAGGTGGACGTCAACAGGAAAGAGGAGGACAGGGAGCACAGAGAGGGCTGCAGCCGACAGCGTTCATTGTTTTCACTGTTTCACTGCATCCATTTCTATTTATCTGTTTCCATCAAACTGGAGCTCAGGCAGCAACAACAGCACAGACGAGTCCACACAGTATATCTGCGCACTGCCCCTGGTGGCAGCACACAGCTACTACAGGCTGTGTGAAGCTGGCCCGAGCCGCCACTTCAAACAGGAAGTCTGCGCTCTGACTCCATAACTCGGTGATGATACCGGTTATCTCTGCTGGCGTTTTAGGTTTTTGATGTCAAAGCAAAGACAGAATGACATCGTCAACATAAAGTCGGTCACTGCACAAAAACCCAAAAATGCTTCAGTGTGATCGTATCAGCTGAAGTTCAGATACACTGGTTTGAGTTTACAGAGAGCAGAGATAAGACTTTTATTATTATGTAGCTGCTCACTGGTTACTGCAGCATGTGAGGTTACACATGAAGAACATTACAGTTATTACTTTATAGAAACTCATCGACAGTAACAGGAAGCACATGTGACAAAACAAAGCTGCAACTAAAGTTAAAAACACGTCTGAAATGCAGCTTTTCATTCTCACTGAATTCGTTTGAGTCAGTTATTGTTTTTTTATGGAAGACGCGTGATTTTTAAACAGGTCAACTGGTAAAATGTTTGATGTTACCTGATGGGATCACTGTCAGCTCCACAGCTGCTTCATGGTTACAGAAGTATCTGCCAGAGTCTGAGGGAGCAGCTCTGAGGATGAACAGAGACCCGTCAGCCTGTGAACTGTATCGGTTCTGTGGATCATTGATGTGTTTTTTGTCTCCGTCTCCATCAGCTGTAAGTATGTCAGCTCTGCTTCCTCCACTCTCTCTGCTCCACCTCACTTTTTTACCCTTCACAGAGTGAGGACAGGGCAGAGTGATCCGCGTCCCCTCCTTAACTCCTTCATGGGTCAAACCTGCAAAAACAAACAGTTTTCAGAATCACATAAACCGTCAGATGCTGTGGACACACGGGAACATCACACGTTTATCCTCATGTAAATAACTGGAGACTTTCTCAATGTTTTGATTTTTTAAATCAAGTTTCATAAAATTAACCTTAATCAGGAAATCAGGAAGAATAACGACGCTCTACATCATCCAATCTCAGAAGAAGCTCAAAGAGTCTCACCTGCAGTGACATTAGAGCCCAGAGTGCAGGCTAACAGGCAGCAGAAGATGTTCACCTTCATCCTCACACAGTGCGAAGTGTCTGAACAGTTCCTGTGTGATCTGAGAGCAGGAACTCGGCCTCTGTGAACACGCCTGTTCTTCTTCCTGCTGCTCACTTCTTGTGGTTAATGAATACAGATGCTCCTTTTATAGTTTGGAATGTGATGTAATTTACATTCTGACAGTTTTGTGTTATTGACTGATGCAGATATAAGATGATGTCGTCGTAGGCGGAGGTAGAAGGTTCCAGGGTGGGGGGTGGTGGGGCGTCAGATCTCCTGTCTTACTGTAGAAAACAGATCAGTTACATCAGTGAGTTTTCACCACGCAGCAAATAATCAAATAATAATCAAATAACAACTTTGGATTGTTTTAAATCACGTAGCCAGTGAGGCAGGGATCACTGACACTAATCTGATGGCTGAAGGAGGGCTGTGTGTACATACAAAGGTCAGCTGCGTTTACATACTTAATAATATGACCCGCCCATGCACTAAATGACTGTGAGGGACAGCCAATAAGAAGAGAGTTGTCTTAAAGGAGAAAGAGAGTGAAGTGTGGGGTGAAAGACGGTCAGAGTGGATGATCAGAGTGATGATGTCAGAGCGTGACAGTGTGGGGAAGCAGAAGTGATGAGATGAAGAAAAACCTCAGGAACATGAGGGAGCACAGATTAATGTGGCATTTTTGTAAACCCGGAGTCATCAAAGCTCTCGTAGTCGAGCCCAACAATGAAAATGATTTTATGCTGTAAAGCTGCTTTTGAGTCTCACGTCTGAGTCCTGCGTTCGGGTCCGACCCCGACAGCCGAGCCTGACCCAGAGTTTAACACTCTCAAAGTGTTAACGTGAGAGAGCAGAGTGATGAGCTGCTGCAGGAGGAAATTCAACACAACGATTTCACAACAGTTGTCTGTGAACTTTAGAAGAGTCAGACTGATGACACACAAGCAGAGTTATCAGCTGCAACCCTGTGGGTTTATCCAGGACTGCAGCAAGAAAACAACCACAGCACTGAGGTCACAGAGGTCACAGAGGTCATTGAGGTCACTGAGGTCACAGAGGTCACTGAGGTCACAGAGGTCACTGAGGTCACAGAGGTCACTGAGGTCAGCGTCCTGGTGCTGGAAACCAAACAGGTTTGTGTTTTTAAAGCTGTGTGTGTGTGTGTGTGTGTGTGTGTGTGTGTCAGAAATCAAACTGTGAGGCTGAAGGACTCGGACCAGTCACTGTTTCACATATTGATGAGTGTGGCTGCATTTCCCCCTGTGTCCCACTGCACTTCCTGCTTTACTTTGAAGGGCTGTCTCCTGCTCAGTGTGATGCTGCTTTGTCAGCTGCTGCCTGTGTCTCGTGATTCTGCACCACAGACCTCATCATTCGGAGCAGCAGCAGCGGTGACACTGGCCTCTGAGGGATGATAGGGATGACACACAGTCTGCATGAGGAGGCTGGTGGGGTCGAAATCTTCTGCTGCTTTGGTCAGACTCACAGTTAAAATCCACCCAACCTCTCTAACTTTGTCTCCAAACAGCTTAACCTGAGGCGACTCTCTCATGTACTCTTTTAATCCAGCACGTCAGACTCCCTAAAAATCTGAGCATCGGCCTCCTGTCGCTGTGTCAGTGCCACTGTCTCCCCATCATCACAGCTGGTCTCTCCTGTGCAGTTGCTTTGGATGGTTGGCCTCGGTATTCAAACTCACGTCTTCTTAGCATAGCTTCAACAACAGCTGTCGTTCTTCATCAGTTTATCCCTCCTCGCTCTAGCTCACATTAAATAATCGGGTTAAACAGCCCTCTCTCTCTGATACCTCCACACCTGCACAGGTATGTCACGTGGACCGGCTGCCTCCTCCTCTTCATGGCTGCCCTCACTTCCTCCTTACTCCTCTGAACTTCCTGGTCCATAATCCTTCCTCGTCTCTCAGATACAATCTCTTTTCTCAGTGTCACATGAAGGTGACTGTCAGCCTTTGTCTTTGCTGTAGCTACCACCTAGCTATCAACCTTCACTCACCTCCTCTTCTTCAAAGTCATCCTACCATTAAATGCTGCAGGTATACATCCTCCCCTGACACCACCTTACAGTCTCCTAGCTTTCACTTTCCCCTTCCTGTGTTAGATGTAGCCCACCTGTGTGCACCTTCATCACAATCACAGTTTCATTTCTCTCTCCAAGCCCACCCAGCACCTCCGTCACCTCTGTTCCCTGCACCTGGATGTCAGAGCTCTGCTCCAATCACCACTCGCTATGATCCTGTCTGACCCCCTCCTGACCTCCACAACACTGTTCACCTGCTCCACCTTCGAGGTTTCCCCTACTCCATTTCTATCCGCACCATGGAAGAACAGCTAGCATCCATCTCCAGCGTCAGCCTTGCTTCCCGTCCACACAGCTACCTTCCTCCATGATATCAGCAGCTTTATCAGTCTGGTCGGCTATCATTGGTATCACAATGTCATGTACACTGAAGTGGACTCACAGTCAGGGGAATCACAGTCAGCCTTTATTTACAGTGACTTCACTAAAACCATGCGTCATACAAATGTGGAAATAGAAGCTGTGCTCCAGGGAGCAGCAGACATGCAGCATCAACGCTCAGGCAGGACCATCCCAGTCAGGACCATCCCAGTCAGGACCATCCCAGTCAGGATCATCCCAGTCAGGATCATCCCAGTCAGGAGGGAAATCCTGGGAAGCTCTGCACAGAGGGAGGAGAAACAACATTAGAGTAAAGAGACGAGCACACACTCATCAGAGCCAACGACGTCTTCCCCGGATCGTCACGCTGACAGCAGCTGCTACCTGGAGGAGTGCTGCTGACGAGCTCACAGGTGCTGCTTCAGCGTTTTAATTTTACACAACAATAAAACACCAAAAGAAAAAAATGAAGATTTTCCATAGAATAAATATCTTTAGCGTTTCACTCTGTCAGCACAGGCAGAATACACTGGGCTTTGAAATGGTGCAAAAGGATATAAAATGAGGTCATTTTCTATATTTATGACAGAGCAGAAGCAGCAAAGGGTGTGTGGTGTAGGTGGGTCGTCACTGAGTCACACTGATGACTGACATGATACCAACCTGGCTTCAAGCATCTAAAATATAAAACATGTTTAGATTGATCTTCTTTATAAATCCAGATATCCTGCTTCGTGTATCTGATGTCTTCGGTTTGTGTCCACAATGTACAGAGCAGCAAAAACAAAGACACAGCATGAAAGGATGAGTGTGTCCAAACTTTCCTTTTTTCTTGGCTCCACATGAAGCTCTCTTTGCTTTGCAGTCGATGAGAGGAGTTTATGAAAACACAAACATAAATACTGAGACGTTGTTGCATTTGGTACATTTTCAAAGATATTCACAGATTTAAACTGTCAGTGATTCATAAGCAAAAGTGAGACGAGTGTGTAAGGATCATATAAATGACTTCACAGTTCAGTGGTTTTCTCTTGGTTGCAGCACTCAGACTCATCAATAACTGCTCGTGTTGTTTGTCCTGAATTTGATTTGCTCAAAAACTGAAACAGCTGTTAAACAAGAGAGATTATTAGCAGGGAGAAAGAGAGCAGGTTTCTCCTGTTTTGGCTTCCTGTTAAATCCAGAATTCAAAATCCTGCTCCTCACATACAAGGTCTTAAATAATCAGGCCCCATCTTATCTTAATGACCTTGTAGTACCATATCACCCTATTAGAGCACTTCGCTCTCGCTCTGCAGGCCTACTTGTTGTTCCTAGAGTATTTAAAAGTAGAATGGGAGGCAGAGCCTTCAGTTTTCAGGCCCCTCTTCTGTGGAACCAGCTTCCAGTTTGGATTCAGGGCCCGTTCTTCGTACCTCGCTAAGTAAGTTAGCTGGATTAGATTGTTGACGATTTCGCGTGATCCTGGATCGTTCGGTTCCCCGAAGCTCATCCGGGACTTGCTGTCATAGCAACAGAGCCGTAAGCGTAAACCTGCTCGGGAGCAGGTTTACTTTATGTAAACAGGATTAGATCGCGGCCACGCAGGTATGTCCGCTTCATTTATACGAAAGCAACAGCGATATTCCACCACTGTTTCACCATAAATAAATAACATCAATGTAACTAAAGACAATGCAGCACCTGATCCATTTATTGATTTCACACAGATACATACAGGTCATTTCCTAAAAAAGGGAAATGTACTATTAACATTCTATTACATGTATGTGATTATTACAGATGTAATTCATATTTCAGAGTAGCAATTGCAAATTACTTTGTGTAATCAAGATGAGAGACCACGGCTATAAAAGCGAAGGTGGATTTGGGAAGCCTGTCGCAGCCATGTCCTGTCCGTATACGCGAGCCACCCATTGCGGAAGGTGCAAGATTGATAAGGAGAGTCCTCAGAATTCAGCGTATATTGCGGGACAGACAGGATCCTTTAGCTCAGCGCGACAGTGTGCTCATTGAGAGATATCGATATTCCCGTGAGGGTATTATTTACTTAACCAACTTGTTGACGAGGGGGTGCAGGACCACCACCTGTCTTTTTTTCCTCTGCCCTTTTCTTGGTTGCTGTTATGAACAAACTAACAGAGTATTACAGGCCAGTATTACCTTGCCAAGAGACGAAAAGCAATCTAAGAGATAAATATTACCATTCTGTAGAATACTCCTGTATTCCACTTTTACTTGTTCCCATGTTCTTGTGGGTCCTGTTGTGGCTCTAATGTGAAAGGGGATATAATATAACATATTATGATATAATATAATGCCATATGATATTGGACAATATAGTGTCATATGATAGATCTACCCTACCGCCTACTGGTGTTGGCCAGAGGGGCCGATGGCGCGATATGGCAGCCTGGCTACAACCGTAGCTGCCTCCACCAGTGTGTGAATGTGGGAGTGAATGAATAGTGGTATCGTAAAGCGCTTTGGGTGCCTTGGAAAGCGCTATATAAACCCAATCCATTATTATTATTATTATTAAATTACCTACGAGTTTGATTTGTCAGCAACTTTCTGCCAGCCCTCTCTCCTTGCTTTTGCAGCCTTTGCAGTGTTCTCTTGCGTTTTAATTAAACTCTGAAACTCCTGAAATCCCTCACTCATGAGTTCTTGCTCTGCTGCCGGAAAATACCGAGCACGCCCCTTCGACATTTTCGCCGACCAATCAGCGGGTTGCCGATCAATGTTTCTACTATCGATGCGTAGCCCCTTTTACGACACCCAGTGATCGCGCATTACTTCATCCAGCTGTAGTAATCGTCAACAGCAGGTGTGTTCGGGGAACCGGATTAGCGAGCTCACGGTTAGCGCGATGATTTGATCTTGGATGTAGTAAGCGACGTACGAAGAACGAGGCCCCTGGTGACCCTGAATCCTCCCTTAGTTATGCTGCAATAGACGTAGGCTGCCGGGGATTCCCATGATGCACTGGGTGTTTCTTCTTCACTCACTATGTGTTAAAGAATATATAAAAAAATAAAATCCATTTTTTCCTTGTGATCTTATGTTTTGTTCAATTTAATCTTTTACTATTTATAAACCCTCCAGCGTCTGTTTTCATGAACAGCAGCATCAAACCAATAACTCCACATTTACCTGCAGGTCTGTCAGCATGTTGATGCAGGCGCTGCTCCTGAGAAAGAACGCCGAATTAATTATTACGATTAACTATCAGCAGGAATAATTTAACCAGTTTATTTGTTACTGGAATCTGTTACTCAGACTGTAAGTGTAACAGAAGCAGAGATGAAAGTTTAGATGAGCTCAGCTGCTTCACTCTCACCATTTATAAGATGTTCTGCTCCAGCTGGTGTCTCATCACAGGCGTGGAGCTGTTCGTCAGTCCCTGCAGACAGATCAGAGTCAGCTCTTCCTTAAAGACAGTGAAACATGCTGCCTGCTGTGATGTCATGCTGGAAACAAGATTCAGAGCTGTTAGCTGAACCGTGCTAGCCCAGGTGGCTAATGTGTTAGCAGTTAGCAGACAGAGTGAAGGCAGGAAAGTAAACCAGACTTCAGCTGAACATGAAATAAAGATGTGAGACTGATCAGGACAAAGCGTCTAAACAAATACATAAGTCAGCTAAACCACAGCACCTGGTTTTACTTTACTCACCTCGTCTTTTGGACTTTTGTCTCCAAATAAAGTAAATGATGACGAGAACAAGGCTGCAGACGAAGACCACAAGGGCTCGGATCCCCAAGTCAAACAGGTGACGGTTGGCTGGAAAAGCAAAAGAATAATTATCCGATACAATTATTAAACAAACATGATCGACTCTACATACTATTTATTAATATCATAAACACTGCTCCAAAAACTTAATTAACACTTCAGAGTCTAGCATCAGGCCAGATGTTGATGCACAGCTAGGCAGCAGCTGTACTTAGAGGAGCAACAATGAGACGACCTCCAACACAGGAGCAGTTTTACAGCTGAAAGTCTCAGACATCGTTTCCTCCTCATCTTTTCTGTCTGTGTTTTCACCAGTTTGACATCCGGCTAAGGTCAGTGTCTCTACTGGTAGCACTGGGTGATACTGGACCCTCCACAGGTTGCACAGGTAGTCCAACTTCCAGCTGTGGCACATTGAATACGTGCCACAGCTGGAAGCTTTGCTGTGTCTCGAGGCGTCTTTGAATTCAGCCTCTGTAGGTTTATAATGTTCATGCCCATCCAACGATGTGGCATCCTTCCATTGCTAACACGTCCTCGTTCATATCATAGATATGCAGCAATAGTTTTTCCCATTGAGATCAGACACGTTTTCAAAGTCTTCCTTTAAGTTTTTTGAACAGTGTTTTTTTAATGTAATTCAGAACAGCTGAGCTTGTCTGACAGAGCATCATGCCTCAAACACACGTCATTTATACTGTAAACAGCAGAGCTGATGTAAGTTTGACTGAGAATTATACATTTAAACCTGTGAAGCTGACTGATGTCTTTGTTGGACTCATACCTGACGGGGCAGGTGTCACTGCTGGCTGGTGAGTAACTGTTGTAGTTGTTGTTTCTTTATCTTGAGAATACAACAGAGAATTTAATTTCATAAACTGAAAATGAGAAAGACTGACAGAATTGCACACGTGTATTTAGCCAAATATATACCATAAATAAAATGCATGTTTTCAAAAAAATACAATTTCTATAAATAAGAAACAAAAACATTTGATAATATCTTGAGATTTGGAAACGATGACTGGGTACTGGATTTGTTAAAAGTGCCGTGTTATACAGGAGCAAACGCAGTGACGTCATCGACAGCACTGATCAAACTCGAGGGTCTAAACTAAACTCATCCTGCTCTCTGCTCTTCCTCCTCTTTGAGCTGTAAACTATGATGTGCTGGTGGCTGCAGACCCCGCAGGTTTAGCTCTTTGAACGTGGAGTTTAATGTGTTTTGGGTTCATGTGTCTCACCTCTGTCAGATCTCTGTCCTTTGGTCACATTCAGATAAGCAGCTGGTTCTCCACCACAGTAGTACAGTCCAGAGTCAGCAGGCTCAGCTTCTCTTATACGAAGAGAGGGGCTGAGCTGTCAACTGATCACCACCTGGTGGTGAGTTGGATCAGGTGGCGGGGGAGGACGCTGACAGACCTGGTGCACCTAAACGCGTAGTGAGGGTGTGCTGGGAACGTCTAGCAGAGGCCCCAGTCCGCGAGATCTTCAACGCACACCTCCGGCAGAGCTTCAACAGCATTCCGAGTCCGAATGGACCATGTTCAGCATCTCCATTGCCGAAGCTGCTGCATTGAGCTGCGGCCACAAGGTGGTTGGTGCCTGCCGTGGTGGTAATCCCCGAACCAAATGGTGGACACCAGAGGTGAAGGGAGCCACCAGGCTGAAGAAGGAGTCCTATCGGGCTTGGTTAGCCTGTGGGACTCCGGAGGCAGCCGACAGGTATCGACAGGCCAAGCGGAATGCGGCTCGGGCAGTGGCTGAAGCAAAAACTCGGGTGTGGGAGGAGTTCGGAGAGGCCATGGAAAAAGACTTTCGGACTGCCTCGAAGAGATTCTGGCAAACCGTCAGGCGTCTCAGGAGGGGAAAGCGGTGCTCTACCTGCACTGTGTATAGTGCTGGCGGAGCGCTGCTGACGTCGACTGAGAAAATTGTCAGGCGGTGGAAGGAATACTTCGAGGACCTCCTTAATCCCACTGACACGTCTTCCGAGGAGGAAGCAGAGTCTGGGGATGAGGGGAATGACCCGCCAATTTCCGGGGGCGAGGTCACTGAGGCAGTTAAACAACTCCTTGGTGGCAGAGCCCCTGGTGTTGATGAGGTCCGCCCCGAGTTCCTGAAGGCTCTGGACGTTGTAGGGCTGTCCTGGTTGACACGCCTCTGCAATGTTGCGTGGAGATCAGGGGCAGTACCTGTGGACTGGCAGACCGGGGTGGTGGTCCCCATCTTTAAGAAGGGGGACCGGAGGGTGTGTTCCAACTACAGGGGATCACACTCCTCAGCCTCCCTGGGAAAGTCTATGCCAGGGTGCTGGAAAGGAGAGTTCGTCCGCTAGTCGAACCTCGGATACAGGAGGAACAATGCGGTTTTCGTCCTGGTCGCGGAACACTGGACCAGCTCTTTATCCTCTCGAGGATACTTGAGGGTGCATGGGAGTTTGCCCAACCAGTCTACATGTGTTTTGTGGACTTGGAGAAGGCATTCGACCGTGTCCCTCGGGGTGTCCTGTGGGAGGTGTTGCGGGAGTATGGGGTGTCTGGCCCATTGCTACGGGCCATTCGATCCCTATACAACCGTTGCAAGAGCTTGGTTCGCATTGCCGGCAATAAGTCGGACTCGTTCCCGGTGGGTGATGGGCTCCGCCAGGGCTGCCCTTTGTCTCCGGTTCTGTTCATAATTTTTATGGACAGGATTTCTAGGCGCAGCCAAGTGGCGGAGGGCTTTCGCTTTGGTGGCCTCAGAATCTCATCTCTGATTTTTGCAGATGATGTGGTTCTGTTGGCTTCATCGGGTGAGGGCCTCCAGCTCGCACTGGAACGGTTCGCAGCCGAGTGTGAAGCAGCGGGAATGAGGATCAGCACCTCCAAATCTGAGGCCATGGTTCTCAGCCGGAAAAGGGTGGAGTGCCCACTCCGGGTCGGGGATGAGTTCCTGCCCCAAGTGGAGGAGTTCAAGTATCTCGGGGTCTTGTTCGCGAGTGATGGGAGAAGGGAGCCGGAGATCGACAGACGGATTGGGGCTGCAGCTGCAGTAATGCGGACGCTGCACCGGTCCGTCGTGGTGAAGAGGGAGCTGAGTGTAAAAGCGAAGCTCTCAATTTACCGGTCGATCTACGTCCCTACCCTCACCTATGGCCACGAGCTGTGGGTAGTGACCGAAAGAACGAGATCGCGGATACAAGCGGCAGAAATGAGCTTCCTCCGAAGGGTGGCTGGCCTCTCCCTTAGAGATAGGGTGAGAAGTTCGGCCATCCGGGAGGGGCTCAGAGTAGAGCAGCTGCTGCTCCACATCGAAAGGAGCCAGCTGAGGTGGTTCGGGCATCTGACAAGGATGCCCCCTGGGCGCCTCCTGGGTGAGGTGTTCCAGGCATGTCCCACCGGGAGGAGGCCCCGGGGCAGACCCAGGACACGCTGGAGAGATTATATCTCTCGGCTGGCCTGGGAACGCCTTGGTATTCCCCCGGATAAGCTGGAGGAGGTGGCTGGGGAGAGGGAGGTCTGGGCCTCTTTGCTTAGGCTGCTGCCCCCGCGACCCGGCCCCGGATAAAGCGGATGAAGATGGATGGATGGATGGACATTATTAAAGATTAAAAACGATAAAACACAGCAACTCATGCACAAATGCTTAAAAACACAAAGTTAAAACATGTCAGTTTCACCGCGTGACATTAATCAGCATCAGTCAGACAGCATCCAATCATTGTTCACAAATCACAAGATGTTATGTGAAATTCTTCAGTTCAGTTTTTTACTTTTAGTTTTAGATTTTGTGTTTTTTTTATGTGGAGTTTGTTTTTAACCAACTCGTACATTTAAAGTTCAATTGTTGATTTTTAAGCTGTTATTTTTTATGTATCTACATTTTCTTTTTTCTGTACTTAAGATAATAAGACAACAAAAACAACAACAACAACAACTACCACACCACCACCACCTACTACAAAAACAACAACACCACCTACTGCTACAACTCATACAGCATCAGTAACAACTGCATCACCCCCCGATGCTCCATCAGGTATGATTGCATCAAAGAATCTAACGAGTGCAGTTGAACAGGTTTAAATGTAAACATGTTCATCTCTTCTGGCCTGTAGCATAAATGACCTTTAGAGTGAGGTCTGATGTGTTTATATATTAAATATTACAGAGTGTCCATGTATGTGATGCATGATCCGTGTTCATCACTCTGACCTTGTCCAGCTCTTCCAGTGCAGAGTTTCCTGATAGGAACTGGTCTTCTTCTTCTCTCCATCCTCATCCTCATCACTGCCTGCTTCATGTGGAGATGCAGGTCCAGCAGACGAGGTGAGTAAAGAGAAACATGACCAGAATCTGTGGTTTACATGACTTATTCATTGGTTTAGACATGTTAGTCGCATCATTCTCACATATCTGCTGTGGTCCAGTTTAGCTTCCTTCACTCGGTTCTTTTGAAGAAATCAGAAAGGTCACAGGAGACGTATCAGTGAGGTTTAAAAACTATGTAGTGACTTCCTAACAGCTGTTCCTCGTTCTTTCTTCGATGGACTGTCTTCGGTTTTATTCAGGAGCTCCTTTGAACCTCTCCACCAGTGGATTCAGGTTGTATCTGACCTCTGTTACCAACTTCTATGACATTCACGGCAGCTTCCCATCATAGTGTTGTCTGCACTCGCTGGGTGCTGCATCCCAGCTGGTCTGCTATGGAATGAGATTCATGTAATAACAAATGGCATCAGCCGGGCTCTGCTTTGTCTTCTGTAACTTATTCAGAAAGAAGAAGCTCGACGTCTGACAGGCACACGTAAACGAGACCATATTTCCCCCGTTATGGCTTCCAGTACGTTTTAGGATCGACTTTTACAGACAGGCAAGCAGAAGCGATGCCCCCCACCACCCCAACCCCAATTACACATGCAAACAAAGGATCCTCCTCCACTATTCACCTATTTAACAAGATAAATTCAATCAGATTAAAACATACTGCACTCCTTCCTGGCTGAAGAATTGTAAAATCTAAGTACTGCCACAGTTAAATAAATACCTACTTTATTACCCCAAAATATTAAGTACATCTTAAATACTTTATATTCTGTTTAAGGTCCTACATTACACACAGCAATCAGCTAATGCTAGCTGGTGCAGGTAGTAACTGACCTCAGAACAGTGAAGCAGCAGCTTGCCTCTCATGCTGCTCTCCCATCAGTTTACTGTTAAAGTCACAGCAGTTTAAACACAATGTAAATGTGCACACGGGAAAAGCTGCAGCTTCATTCAGTGTGAGCAGGACAGACAGACGCCCTCTGACACACTTTGCTACGAGTCTGAAATAAGTGCAGCTTTTAGTGACAGTAGCCAGCTGTGGCCACAAGATGGCAGTAATGCAAAGGATGGATGTACAAACCAAGGAGCTCTGAGAGGAGAGATCGCTTTGGTTTGTTTTTTCATTCATGTCTGCTTTTAGATTTGCCTGTCCTGACGTAACACCTCTGTCCTAACACATCTCTGATGCTGGTCGAAGCAGACTGAAGCACAGAGGAGACTGGGCCTTTGCTGTGGTGGTTCTGCACTTTGGAGCAGTCTGCCTCCAACACTCGACACTCTGTAAAACTTTAAAATGTGACTCAGTTTTGATGCTTTTCTTTTCTTGGTGTTCCTTGTTTTTTCTATTTTCCTGCTTCTTTTCAGCTCTGCCTTGATTACATTCACACAATTTATTTAATCTCATAAATTAGATTTTTAGAAAGTTTAATCTCAGCCTCACTTTTGAGTCACGACCTGTATGTAACAGGTCAGGACACATCACAGTTTAGCGGTGCCCCCTCAGACTGCTGGATTCCTGGACTGAGTAGTTTCGGATGACTGCCCGTCTGCAGCTGCTCACTTCATGCTCTGTGTGAAACAAGCCGTTCTTACTGGTCAGCCTCCTGTGAATAAGAGTGTTTCAGAGCAGAGGGAAGCCTGGGCTTTTAGCTCACAGGGTTACTGAATATCATGAACATCCACCATTGGAACAGCATAGATTACAGGACCAGAAAAGGCTTTTTCAGTCCACACGTATAATTATGAGCAGAGGTGCTGCTGTAAATGCTGACATCTGTGTGACATGTGTCCTCTTCTATTCATCAGCCTGTCAAAGTAAAGCATTTGCTCACAGCTGCATTCACACTGTGTTTTGGTACTTTTAAGATAAGAGCAGGTTCATCAAATTCTAGATCAGTGTCATTAGCTAAACCAATCAATCAATCAATATTTATTATTATAGCACATTTAAAAAGGACAGTGTCCATCAAACACGAGGTAGCAAAGCAGATTACAACAAAAGCAACAAAAACAGTTAAAAACATTAAAACCAGTTATAGTTA